CCTTCACACATTTTCAACTTAGCTCGAGCCTCGTGCGATTGACGCTCGGGGCCCCGCCCGAACATACCGACAAGTTTGAAATGATAAAACGGACTTGCTCGAACCCTCAGAACACCGGAAACAACATTAAAACTAGAAATCACACCCTAAAACCAATTGATTCAAACTTATGAACTTCATGTTCTTCAATTTACTTCCAATGTGACGAAACACACTTATACTACTCGGATTGACACCAAATTTTGCGTGCAAGTCTTAAATCACACTATGGAACTATTCCCGGTCTCAGAATTCTGTTCGGACCTCGATATCACAAAAACTCGCTCCAAACCAAATTTAAAGAACTTCAAAATCCTTAAGGAATCAACTTTCACTATTATGTGCCAAAACGCTCGGGTTATCCAAAACCCGATCCAGATATACGCCCAAGTCCGAAATGATTATACGAACCTGTTGGAACTGTCAAATCCCGATCCCGAGGTTGTTTACTCAAAATATTGACCGAAGTCAAACTTGGCCTTTTAAGCCAACCTTAAGGAACCAAGTGTTCCGATTTCGATTCAAACTCTTCCAAATCCCAAATCAACCATCCCCGCAAGTTATAAATCAGTAAAAGCAAGTACAGGAAGTCTTATTTAGGGGAACGGGATTCTAGAAAGTAAAACGACCAGTCGGGTCGTTACACTGCAATTTTTGATTTGCACATTCATCAAATGGATGTAAAAACTGTTTTTTTTAAATGGGGACCTAAATGAAGAAATTTATATGGATCAACCTGAGGATTTTATAGAAGCAGACCAAGAAAGTAAAGTGCGTAAACTTACTAAATCCCTATATGGCTTGAAACAGACACCTAAGCAATGGCATGAAAAGTTTGATTCCTGCATGATTGAAAATGGTTTTAAATCTAGTGAGTGTGATAACTGCATCTATCATAAGTCTTGGAATAATTCACATATAATTGTTTGCCTCTAGTTGATAATTTGTTAATATGTAGGTCTAACATGAATGTTATTGGAGAAACTAAAAGTATGCTTAGTAGCCATTTTGACACGAAAGATTTGGGTGAGGCAAATTTCTTTCTTGGAATGAAAATTACTAGAACATGTGATGGAATTTTCCTTGACCAGTCACATTATGTTGAGAAAATTTTGAAAAAATATAATTTTATTGATTGCAAGTATGTTGTAATCCCTTTTGATTCAAGTATTCACTTATTTCTTGTACAAAGTGATAATGATGTGATAAATCAAAAGGAATATGCTAGCTTAATTGGAATCTTGAGATATGTGACTGATTGTACTCGTCCTAATATTACATACGCAGTAGGAGTACTTAGCAGGTTTATAAGTAAGCCAGATAGTGAACATTGGCATGCCATAACAAGAGTTATGAGGTATTTACTTGGTACAAAAACCTATGGCTTATTTTATAAAAAATATCATGTTGTACTCGAACACTTTTCCTATGCAGATTGGAACAGTTTATCTGGTGATTCCTGTTCTACTACATGTTATATTTTTACTTTGGGAGGTGGTGCTATTTGTTGGAAATCAAAAAAGCAAACAATAATTGCTAACTCTACCATGGAGGTTGAGCTAATTGCTTTAGCTTCAGCTAGTGAGGAAGCGAATTGGTTGAGAGATTTATTATTTCAAATTTCTTATATTGAAAAACCAATTCCTCCTATTTTGATTCATTGTGATAGCACTGCTGCAATTGGTAGAGTACAAAACTGTTATTACAACGGTAAATCCAGACCTATAAGGAGAAAATATAGTACTATGAGATCATATTTAACAAGTTGTACCATTAATATTGATTATGTTAAATCTTGTGATAATCTTGCAGATCCACTGACTGAGGCCTTAGCAAGAAAAGGGTTTGGAGCACATCGAGGGGGATGAGATTGAAGCCCATAAACTCATAAGTGATATATGAGGTAACCCAACCTAGGGACTAGAGATCCTATAACCAGGTTCAATGGGAAGAACGAATCATATGATGGCTTGGTTTGAAGTGCACTATTTTTATTATCGTTTCATCCCTATGGTGTGAGTGCATTTATTCTGTAATGATTTTCGAGGTTGAGTTTTATTAACTCTTAATGAAAATCTATAGCACGTATGAGTGGGGTGTTAGAGTTACAGGAGTACCCTTGACAGATTTCACCTATGTGAGTGTGGAAGTAGGCCGCTTCCTATGAGAATTGGGCTTGTTCTCAAAAACACTCATGAAAACCGGGATAGCACAAGGCTGTAATGTGCTGGCTAATAAAGCTCATGTCAACACTTTGATTATTATGTGTAAGCAGTGATAATTTATTTCCCTAAAGCAGTCATAGTTCAAGTCTGAGACCACTACTGACTCTAGAGTAAAGATCGCTGTTTTGCTAAGTGGAGGTTCAATGCAGAGCACACCTTCATTATGTATAATAGTCTCCCTTCAACCGGTAAACTCTCTTATACATTTTAATATTAAAATGAGTGGGGGAATGTTAGTATTTAGCATTTTAATATTAAAATAAAATATGTCATAACTCCCACTACTCTATGATGTAGAAAATGGCCATAACTCCCATAACTCTCACTATTCCATGATGTAGAAAATGATCATAACTCTTTTGTAACTCTTCTCCCATGTTCTACCACTAATTACACACTAATTATCTCATGTTCTCCATGATTTCATAACTTATTACCCCACTTTCTTCCAATTTAATTCAAGGAAGAATTCCTACATCTATAAATAGGAGTCTTTCTTCCCTAATGTGGGACGAAAAATAATTGTAGAGTTTCAATAAAGTGAGGTTAAAGTTGTGCAAAAAAAGAAAGAAGAGAGTTTTTACTTTTGTTGAAGGAAGGTGTTCATCTTGGTTGAGCTTTGGACTCAACAACTTGTCCAGAGTTTGTTCGAGTCATACGATGCGATTGGGCTATTGTATCCTGGGGGAGACAAGTCAAGAGGATTACTGCTGGACCAGTGAAGATTTTACTGCAGTGAGCTTGAATCTCCAAAAAGAGCGAGATATCTGCCTATCAGCCTGAAGATATTTTATTTTCTTCATTTTATTTTTCAGCTATAATTGTATTTTCACCAACAATATGAAATATAAAAGTTGAAATATTTTCCCATGACTTTACACCACCACATAAATTAACAAGCAGTCCTACAAGGAAAGTTTACAGTATCAGCAAGTGTGATGGATCTAACTATAAGCTCCTACACATTGAGTAGCATTTTAAAGCCCAACATGAGACAAATATAAGTCCTAACAGAAGTTAAAAAGAGAGAGGAAGTACTAAAAAGAATCCATTAACTTTGAGTAGAGGAAAACACAGTTAACAACATGTACGTTTGTTAGCTAAACTTTTGCTACGTATTCCGTATTGTATAACTAATTTACTCACCTTGGCTGCCAATTCCCAAAGTCTAACACTAGTAGGTTTACACCCTAATGAATAAGGGTGGAAAAATCTATCACCTTTTTTAATAATCCGCTTAATCGTCCAAATTTAAACGGGTCAAGGTATGATTAGTTTATTGATTTGATCTAACGTGTTAAAACTACCAAATTAAAATAGGTCAAAGTAGTAAAATCAAAATAGAAATTTGAAAATAAGATTATATAGTAGGAATGACGTAAATTAATAATTTAAGAAAATATATTAATTCATTTATCTCGACTCAATTTGGAAAACTTGAACACATTGGACGAGCCATATTTCATGGGCTAAATTTGTCATTCTTATTTGAAGAATTAACCAAAATAGCCGCACGTCCAATCACTTAAATTCAAAATAGTCTGTGGAGGTATAATATATACACAATTTATGTATTATATGTATATAATTGTGTATAATCAATATGTATTATGTATATGACTAGAAAAAGTAAACAATAAATATGATTGGCTATTTATGTAAAGAAGCGTTGTTGGCTAACTTTCAAAGCCTGTAACGAGTCCGTTTCGTAAAAATAGCACGGTATAGCCAGTTTTCGGACTGGTCAATCAAAAATAGTCAGCGTTTACCAAGTCAATGAAAAGTAGCCACTACTTTGCTGCAATAGAGACAGGTCCAGCATAATATACTGGAGTTCGGTGCACTTGTGTATGAACTCCAGCATATTATGTTGGACCGGTATACTTTGCTGGCTCTAGTATAATATACTGGAGACTGGAGCACCAGTGCTCCAAACTCCAGTATATTATACTGGACCAATATACTTGCTGGAACTCCAGTATATTATGCTGGAGTTCTATAGCCTGTTTGGCCAAGCTTCTTTTTTGGCCAAAAGTGCTTTTTTTTTTGGCCAAAAGCACTTTTGGCCAAAAATTGAGGTGTTTGGCCAAGCTTTTGGAAGGAAAAAAAAAATGCTTTTGAAGAGAAGCAGAAGCAGTTTTGGACAAGCGGAAAAAAGTAGCTTCTCTCCAAAAGCACTTTTTTGAGAAGCACTTTTGAGAAAAATACACTTCGAAGCAGTTTTTTGAAGCTTGGCCAAACACTAATTGCTGCTCAGAAGTGCTTTTCAAACTAATTAGCCAAACACAAACTGCTTCTCACCAAAAGTACTTTTGAGAAAAGCACTTTTAAAAAAAAGAACTTCTTAAAATAAGCTGATTTTTGCAGCTTGGCCAAACGGGCTACTAGTGTACTTACGCTGGAACTCCATCATATTATGCTGGAGTTCCAGCATACTTATTCTGGAACTCCAGTATAATATGCTGGAGTTCAAGTATACTTATGCTGGAACTCCAGCATAATATACTGGAGTATTTTTCGGGTTTGAACAGTGTTTTCGCTCAGAATTATCTTTATATAAAAGTGGCTAAATTTCGATTACTTTTGAAATTGGGCTATTTTTGAACGACCGGTTGTAAATCTGGCTATTTTTAAAATTTACCCGTCCATTTCGGAACAGAACCTTACGGCGTCGTTTGTAATTTCACTATACGATAACTGATAAAAGACATCCACGACGTTGGATCTAATATGCTGGCGTATGATGAAAAGAGAGCGCACAAATGGAAGAAAAAGAAAAGAAAAAAAGAGAGAGATAATTGAGACGTTCCCATATCTGTAAACGTGGGTAGGGCTTCAACCGGCAACAGTCATTTTCGAGGGAGATAACATAACAAAAGAGAAGGAAGAAGAAGCTCTTGAGGTCATTCTCGTCTTTTCACAATTTCCTCCTCTTTCTCTCCGATCTCTCGCTGCCATTGCGATTTATGTTGATAACATGATAACCGATTTATGTTGATCGTAAGTCCTATTTTTGTTCATTTCCTTTTTAATCTATCAATTGAATTTGTACGTGTTGGATTGGATCTAGTACTCTCTGTCTATGCCTTCTCTGCTATTGAAATTTGATTTATTAGCTCAACTGATGTGAATGTTGTTTCGTTATCCTATTCTGGAATCTATTGAATTTCAAATATCCTATTATGGTATAGTAGAGAGACTCTTTTATTGCTACTGGGTTCTTATTATCTGTACTTCTTGATTGTGTTGAACTCTTTAATCTGTGACCAAACTATGTACAATCCCATGGCGTGCTCAGTCAAAAAAAGAAGTGCTTCTATGAGTGGAAAATGGGAATTATTTTTGTCACAATGGTCAATGAAGTGGGAGGAACCATGATGTCTCGGGTTCAAATCTTAGTGGAGACAAAACACTAGATGATTTATTCTCATATGTTTTAGCTTTGGTGGACATAGTAACCCGGTACTTGTGCTACTGAGAGGTAGCAATTACCCGATGAATTACTCGAGGCCGCGGAAGCTGACCCATATACCATCATTATAGAAAATGCTAGCACTATTTGAACTCTGTATCCAAGTTGGCAAGAAGTCTATTTTTTGGGGGCGACCACTATTTCTATTGCTTCCCCTTATCTATCTTATCAAAGAACTATACCTCAATCCTAAACTAGTTAGGATCAGTTAAACAAATCCTATATATCCATTCTACTCCTTTGAGATTCAGTATCTCACTATATTGGATGGTTATCAACCTAATACAATCATTCTCCTTTATCCTGGCTTGGGAAATGATATGCTTCTTTGAGCCAACATAGACAGTTTCTGTTATTTATCTTGTATGCTTTTTTTAAAAACCTTATTACAGCATGTGACAGCAAATTAGCTTATATTTGCTGTTAGGAACTTATACATACACTAGTAAATTTGTCCGTGTTTCGCACGGTGTAGTAAAATTTCATTAGATCATGAATTAATCTTTCTCTAATGTCTGACAATTAAAAACAACCAAAAAGTAAGTGCATACGATTAGTCAATTCAAATGTTTTTCAAAAACACCGGTTGAGGCCTTTAGTTTTCATTTTACTATTAACATTTTGTTTGAAAAGAGAAAACCGCAAAAGTTTTTTACCGTTAATTTCTATGTTTTACATAATGTTTATAGTCCGTCTTTACTTTTTATAAATATTTGAATACATTTTTATCTCTTACAAAATTAATTTATTTTTATTCCTTAAATAAATATAATTGTACATATATTTACATACATAATAGTACTTGATATAGGTGAAGTTTTAACGCTACATACTGGCAATTCAAATGTGTTATACATGGTGTTCATACCAAATTGAATCAAATTGATATTAAGAAACTGATATACATTTGGTTTTGTTTGGTTCTGTTCAATTTGATATTGAATCAAACAGACATATAAATATATTTATGTATATATTTTTTAACTTTTATATCAAGATTTTCTTTAAAAGATTGTCCAGATATATTTTTTATTTTCTCATGAGATATAACATTTATTAGAGCTTTTATAGTTTATTTACTTCTCTTTACTTTAAATAATATTTCAATATTTAACGTGCATGCCACTTTTTCATCAAGTGTTGTTGACTGTTTTCACTTGTAAATATGGAAGAACAAAGAGATTGACTTGAAGTCACCACCTAATTATAATTTAGAGTAAATCAATTCGAGTAAGAGGGGGGAAGGGGGGGGGGGTATAAGGCTAAAATGGTAAAAAATCTACACGAAACTGCAAGTCTATCTACATCTACTACATTTATAGCCAACTCCATTCCTGGTAAAAGATTTCCAGCAAATAAGAAATCATCAAAATAAAATAATCATCTGCCATGACAAGTTTTCAATATAAATTTGCAAAAAATTTCATTCACGAATACCACAAATAAAGTAGAATAAAATAGAAGTATGTATTAGTATACACCTTAGAATCAGAAAAAGAACAAAAAATAAAGGAATTTACTTCTATACATCAATAATCTAAATGAACGGAATAATATCAAAGCTCCTAGCAAATGACTGCAGATAAGTGATAAAAAGAATAGTTAAAAAAGAACAAATAACTGCATTGCAATAAAAAAATTAGTTCATCATCTAATGATCACATCTCTTATGAACATCATGAAACTCCTCCTCATACTAAACCAATTGAAAAAAAAGAGATAGCATTATCATGAATACAATCTATGTAAAATACGCAACCTATATTAGAAATATAGGGAAGTTACATAACTCTTTTTTTCTGCCTTGAATAACAATTATTCTAGACAAAATTCTACGTTAATATGAAATTACTATATTTGATATTTACGGATTCAATCTAATCATAATCACTAAAGAATAAATATATTGTCCAAGTCATAGGAATCCAAATTGAAAATTTGAAGTCTATTTCAAGTATAGGTTTTTAGGTTTTTTTTTTCAGTGCAAGATAATAGAATAAAAATTTCTGCTAATTTCAAATTGTATATCATACACTTATTTTAAGCACTTATTTAACATGTATGATATTGCAAATGCATAAATAAAAATCAACTACCTACATTTTTTTTTTTTTGGTTTCCTTCCTTTCTTTGTTAAGGAAGTATTTGTGGAGAAAAATCTAGTAGAGATAGAGTTACCTCTTTTAGGAGATGTCACAGAGTTGCCGACTGTACTTAATCTTGTTACGGAACGGTCATACCTTTGGCTGAAAGGACACTGGGTTGTAGTGTAAAGAAGATAAGTTCATCTTCAACTTCAACCCTACTTCCTTCAAATATGTTGCAGCTCTGCCGTGGATAAACTCGATGATGCATTTGCATTTACTTTTCGATGGTGAAGAAGAACAAAAAGACTTGATCTTAATCATGACTACAAATGTTAATCCTTTTAAAGAAATTTCAGCCCGCAAGGCAATGTTTCTTATCATGTGCTAATGTTAACCATTTTAAAGAGAAAAATAGGAATAGAACTGCCCCTTCGAAATGTTTGTCCTTTTGATATCCCTGCAATTAAATGAGCAGTAAAGATGCCAAGTTTTCTGTAACTGTTTTTTTTATTAATGAGATGTAATGAGAAGCAATAACATGATATTAATTAAAATGATTAATGTCCAATGAGTCGAACGAAGGAAATGGGCAAAAAAATGAGAAAAAAGATAAATAGATTTCTTGGCCAAAGAGAAGTGCCAAGTGATCTTTTCTATTCCCACATATATATATATATATATATATATGTTGTACAACAACATACCCAGTATAATCCCACAGGTGGGTTCTGGGGAGGGTAGTGTGTACGCAGACCTTACCCCTACCAGGAGAGGTAGAGAGGTTGTTTCCGATAGACCCTTGGCTCAAAAAAAGGTGGAAAGGAAGAATAGGGGAGAAGAATAAGAGAAAAGAGGGGGGAGAAAGAAAGAAGAGGGAGGCAAAAGACGATAAGGAAAAGTAGCATCAAATAGTAACCATCAGGGAGCAACAATTTCCAGTAAAAGGGGAGTTATACCTACATATGCTGTATTTCTATAATTAGCTTAGTACATCCCACAATATCTCATCTGGTATGGGTACCATAATAGAAAAGAAAAGGAGGGATATGTTTGTGTTGCGTAAACTATGAGTCTTTGTGCTCCGTTTGCTCCCTCCTTTTAGCTCCAATATTTTGTAGCTTCTCTTTGTAATTTTTTTTATGGCTTGACCTGACAGGAAGTGTTTTTGGAAGTCTTGGAATATTACGCTCCATAACATCAACCTTAGACCACCACTATGTGGAACTTTGCATCCAATTGTGTAGCTGGCAATATTGGGCTAAAAAATGACTCTCCAAAGCGTACTCAGCATTTAGCAGATTGCTCAGATGATGAAACATCTTCAATAACCAGCAGGGAGGAGGGACTTGAGTGCCCAATATGCTGGGAATCTTTTAACATTGTTGAAAATGTACCCTATGTTCTATGGTGCGGCCATACACTGTGTAAAAACTGCATCCTAGGACTACAATGGGCTGTTGTGAAGTTCCCTACTTTGCCGCTCCAGCTTCCACTGTTTATAGCTTGTCCCTGGTGCAATTTGTTATCCCTTCGTTTGGTTTATAGAGGGACCCTTAAGTTTCCTCGTAAAAACTTCTTTCTTCTCTGGATGCTTGAGAGTATGAATGGTGACAGAACAAAGTCTCATAATTCATCTTGTGGGGATCATCAAACAACAGCCTGGCCATCATGTACAAAATTCCTAGGAAGTACAGCAAGCCAGTCTAACCAACCGAGGGGACAGTATGTTCATCACCCAGAATCATCAGGCTCGAACCATGATCACAATTACATCAGTGGTTCTCTTGCTATTGAGAGACTTCATTCTTCTCTTCGCAAGTCTCTTATTTTCTTCGTTCATTTGACAGCCAAGTTTCCTCTGGTGGTTGTATTTCTCCTGATCATCATGTACGCTATACCAGCCAGTGCAGCAATCTTGGCCTTGTACATGCTCATCACCGTTGTGTTTGCTCTCCCATCTTTTCTAATTCTGTACTTTGCATATCCCAGTTTGGATTGGCTGGTTCGAGAAATCTTCACCTGAAATGCTGTTTTTGTTCTCTTGATCTTGTGGGACTAAAACTGTGTTAGAAAGCAGCAATTCAGTTGAGTGCATCTTAATTGAATGCATAATTTGACGACATTTCTGGCATCAGTTCTCGTTGTAAATTCTTTCATGGTGTAAGAGGGAGAAAATGTTTCAAGTCATTTTGGCCAAGAATTATCTCATATTGTAGTTGGGTATGCCATTTGGTAATTGTCAGGTTGTAATTTGTTTCTACAATAGCAACCATTCTCCAATGTCAGAAACAAATTGGTTCTAGACATTGTTAATACAAGTAATTTTGACAAGGAGACCAGCTGTATTTTCATAGTGTCTGTATCATCGTTCGGGAACTACTTTTTGAAGATCTTGTGCCTGTTCTCTTGTATGTACCCTCAAACGGTTGCACAGTTAATTATCCTCGGTTACTTTCTGTTATATATCTCACCTTTATGTTTGTATAGAAAACAAATTGCATGATCTTTTCTTGCCTTTGATTTGGACACTGGGAGCCACTGAAAGATCTTCAACTGCATAACCCATGCAGTTTAGCTGGATAGTCTTGGAAACGCGGTGGCTCAACGGTGTTAATCAAGTTTAGAAGTAGACAGTTGCTTAGATTTTTCTAAGAATTAACCACAAGCCTTTGATTTGCAAGGTGGGGCGATATGATTCTACTCCTTATATTTATGGTTGAGAATGCTGTAATCTTTGTAGCAGTTAAGAATTAAAGTGATATGCTATTTATTGATTTGGTATAAATATTTGGTCAAGTTTTTAGTGTCCAAGAGTTGATTCGCTTGGGAAAAGATACCGTAGAAAATAAAATGCATCAGTGGCGAAGCTTTTCAATCCCAAATAAACACTTTAGGCTGATTCCCAGAATAGTAAAATATTCTTACTATGATTAGATCTTGATTTGCCTTACATGTGCTTTACAAGCCGCATGTAATCTTTCTTCCCAACTGAGTCCTTTTTTTAATTTGGAAGACGGGACATGATTTTTAAGTATGTCTTCAGATAGGGTCCCACGTCCGGCTAGCTAGTGAGCGATTTTTTGTGCATACTAAAACTAATACCTTATAAAAGAGGAAAATAATTTTTTTTTTGCCCTCTATTTTACTTCTACGTCATGCGTGCTCTTACCATACGAAAATTGCTTGTGTAATTTCTTAGGTGTAACAAAAAATAATTTTGAATATAATCAGAGGTAAAAGTATAAATAGGGATCCTTTCAACAAAATATTTTGCTTCGTGAAATTCATTCAATCAGTACTGGAATTTTGTTAAAGTGAAGGACAAGTACAAAGCGTGTTGCTGACCATAAAATTATAAATCATGACCCGAAAATATGATGAAATAAAACTAAAATATGTTATACAGTAAATTGGTAAATTTAGAGTCTTCCTATTAAAAAAAGATAAAGGGTCTCTCAGTGTACTATTAAAGGCTAGAGAATTAAAATATTTTAGTACGGGGGTAAGAATTTCGTTTGTTCAGTCTGTTAGTTTTTGAAGCTTGTCTCGCATTTCTTTTTTCAAATGTCATAAATCAACATAAAAATTGTAAAATAAAAAAATGGTTATTATGTTAAGAATCTGAACTCGCGAGCCATGTCACTAGGAGCGAGTTGATGAGGGGCCTAAGATCTTGGGAATGGATCAAGAAAATTATGACGCTCCCAGCAATTCCTAAGCGAACCGGCCATGGGAATTTGAATCTAGCTTTGCGGTTAAGACTGTCGAGCCCAATAAAAGAAGCTCTCGAACGAAAGCTTTCTCACCCAGCTCAACAATAGAAATCCCGGGAAGGACCCTACTGGGACCATGAGCATCCAAATAATTAGTCGGCTACTGAATGAAAAAGTTTCATATGAAATACTAGTATGGTTTTATATGGAGCAGTTCACAATTATTATAAGGATGAAAGCATAAATTATCAAGTTCATATCCTTATCAATGAAATTATAATGGCTTGGGACCAGATGGCTGTTGAATATTGGTAGTACAGCACAGAGGTAGCTAATTAAATTTTGTCTATTTTGGTTGAGATCATTTAACAATTCCCTCCTTTTTAATAGATAAAATCCTCTCTTTGCCAAAGAAGGGCATAGCACTAATTGAGAGTATTCATTTGTGGGTCTAGGAATTGAAATTTAGGGCTATTTATGTGTTCAGCAAAAGGATATTAATCATTTTGTAGGTTAGCCTGTTAGTTAGGCCCTGAGACTTTTTCCCCACATTGCTTTTTTCAGAGGGTTGACAAATAAATGTGATTAGAAATAAAGCTTATAATAAAAATACTCCTATAAGACTCGTAATAGCATATGCCTTTATGCAAAGGGGAATCCAAGGAGTTCTTTTCGGCTACTCAACAAAATACTTCCATGCTTCCTAAAGTCATAGGAGTCACAACCTCTATTTATTGGATTCATGCAGATGCGGATCCGGGATTTAAATTTTTTGGATTCAGATTGTAATTCTATCATATTTTATCTAATTTAATGGATTCAAAATTTATTATTTGTATATATTTAATAATTTTTTTGAGCAAACATATAGGACATGAGCGAAAACTATAGGTTCAGTTGAACGCATAACTTCTACACTAAATACACCTCTCGATTTGTGATTTGATATTTAATGGATTCCGTTAAGTTAATATATAATAATAATTAAACTGATATTACCATATTTATAAATATTTAATATATTAGATGTGACTCCGCCCCTGACCCGAAGTTTTATGCGGTGGGAGTGAAAGAATAATCCCTTGTTCGGAATTTCCAAGAAGGTGCCATGCTATCCTCCCTTTTTTTTATCTGTCGTTATACTACAACTTGCATACATAAGATTTTCAATTTCTATTATATCTTATCACTTTGAAGCATTTTTTATTTATTTATATTTATTTGACATATTGGAAAATAATATTATTGTATTGAATTTGTACTACTTTCAATAATTCATATTCATTTAACTATTATACAAGTTTCAGATTTTAATGTAATGTTTTATTTATGAAATTAACGTTGTAATCATTCCTCTAATATTCTAATTGGCTACAACTTATGTAATACACAAACTTAATAAGCATGTTAAATTAACTATCCAGTTTAAATAATCTGGAGTAAAATTAGATGGAGATAGTAGCATCTAGATAAAGGTTAATACTTAGGATCATGTTAAACAGGGTTCCATTTAGATGGGATATGATTAAAAAGTTACATAACTCCCAAAAAAGTCTATTAAGTAGAAGAAGAAAGGTAAAAGAATGAGAGATCTTCTTCTTTTTTTTCTTTTTGGAAAATTGTTATGTGTTAAAACAGATTTTTTTCCCCACATGCCATCATGTTTGGTCAAACATAGTATGATCTTGATTCAGATCTAAATTATAAATTTGCGATTAAAATGTTGAATCGAAGCCTTTGGCATGCAATATGAGGAAAAAATATAGAAAGAATTACAAGAAAATACACATGACTTCACACCATAACAAAAAATGGCTCATATTTTTAAGTTTTACCCTACCTAGCCCACATTGTACATAGTTTGAAAGCACTTGCAAATTCAAAATATGTGTTTTTACAACCATTGCTTCTAAAAGTTATGGAGTTAATTCTTTGTTCTCACAACTATTGCTTAATTTCACTCTCTCTTTTTCTCACATCTTTTACATATGCTTCAAAGAGCCGTGTATTTTCGGCTTCTCCTCTTGTGTCACTTGCTTGCAATGAAAGAAAATTGAAGAGTAGAAGTCCACCATTGAAGACCATTCAAAGCTTTGCTTTTGAAAATGAGTTTTTTTGAATTTGTTAGTTGTTTGGATTGGGTATTGTTCCAATTGATTGAAAATATTAAAAGGAGTTCAAAATTTAAATTTGAAGTGATTTGGAGTAGATTTGAGCAAGATTTGAGTTAAATTTCAGAAAAGACGCAAGAAAGAAGACGAAGTCAGTTTTTTGTATAATTATGTATAATCTTGTATAATATTGTATATGAGCGTAGAAACACACCTTATACACTATTATACACTTTTATATACCTTTATACAAGCGTCTGTAGACGAACTTTTTCACGATTTTCAGTTGCAATTCTTGTTCAAAACCAGTCCAAATCTCCATTAAATGACTTCAAATTTTATATACAACCTCCTTATATTATTTCTAACAAGTCTAAATAACACCCACTCCAAATCTCTCACAAAATCAAATTCGAAATTTAAACCCACATATTTAAGCTTGTTAAAAATCTAATTTTCACCACCAAAATGAATTTGGTTTGTTGAATTAATATTTGAGTCACAATTATTGATTCGAAAATTAATTTAAAAGCTTGAGGAATCTTTTTTAAAAATTAAATAGTAATTTTGAGAACCTATTAGAGTTGGATGTTGAATCTTAGCCCATTATTTATGGGCTAGTTGATTGTAAATTAAAATATTGGCTATTAAATTAAAAAGTATGAAGCCTAGTTGTTCTAATGTGAAATTTTCCCAAAAATATAATATTACACTATTTAAAGAATACTTTGCACCACAAAACTGAATCGGCTAACATACTTTATTTTTAATTATTTTCTAATTTCTCTGGTTTAATAGGGATGATCCAACTTCCAAGTAAGGAAGGGAATCCTTCACCATATTGACTTTGGACAGTTGTGCGGAGAGGGGTGGGTGGGTTAAGTTTGGCACACTAATGACTTTATTTCTAGTTTCAGCAGAATTTAGTAACTTTAACTCAAATTTTATATTTATTTTAAAATTTTTGTTTACTAGAGTACTAATTTAGCAGCCAAATAAACCAAAAAAAAAAAAAAAAAATTGTACTTCAGAACCCACAAACTAAAAATTCTGTCTCCATTATTCTGACAATAATTTGAGAGTGGATGAGTTATTTAAGTGCTACTATTAAAATTGCATTATTCTTTGATTATTTTTAAATAGTATATATCCACTCTCTAGGTTTTTATAGCTTATAAAAATTTGGAGAGATGCTTTGCCAGATAATGAAGAAGAAGAGTCGTCAAATAAGATAGGGAGCTCCTTGTTTTGTCCTAACAGTTCAACTAGGGTCCATGGTATCCTATGCACCAATTAGTTTTTTGGCTCTAATTAACTTATATACTATTCCCTCCGGTTCAAAATAAGTGATTTTTTTTGAATGTTTTCACACAGATTAAGAAATCCACCTTTTAGCATTAATTAGCAATGGAATGACCATATTAGCCTTTACTATCTCACATAAACACTCCTAACACATATTCCAATACTATTTACTCCAAGGACAATGTAGGAAAAAAATAATTAATTAATTCTTGAAATCTGAAAAAATCACTTATTTTGGACCACAAAAAAAATGTCAAAAAATCACTTATTTTGGACCGGAGGGAGTATATAACAAGGGAAAAGCAAGGAGAAGCGGCTCAAACAAAAAGAAAGA